GTCTCCAACTCCTGAGCTCAAACAATCCGCCTGCCTCGGCCTCCCAGAGAGCTAGGATTACAGGTGTTAGCCACCGCGCGGGGCCTGTGTATGAAGTTTTTTTAAGGGGGTGATAAAATGTCTCGAAATTGTGGTGATAACTGCATAACTGTGAATATACTAACAGTCATTGAATTGTACACTTTAAATGGGTGAATTGTATGGTATATGAATTATATCTCAATAAAGTTGTAACAAAAAGTTCACAAACAATAAGACAAAATTCTGAAAAGAGTTTTATTATGGAAACAAGGAGAGTAATTAAGCATGAAATAATTTCATTCTTGATAAAAGTATATTGAATATTACAAAATCTGAAGTAAACTAGTTTATAACCCAACTCTTTTAAAGGATTTATATTTATTGAAATTAAATTTCATCTTTTGTAAAGATGTAACATTAGTTACAGGAGGAAAATGTTTAATCTAAATACACATTGTCAGAAATATGACTCAAAAGTCAATATGCATAAAGGTTGTATTCATCTGCGTTAAATAGCCATACAAAGCTATTAACTTGAAATATGAAAGGGTTGTTTATTAGTTATTTCAAACTATAAGTTTGGAATGCATGTTTTTTTGTGATACCATTATTTCACTAAATACATATAATGGTCAGAAATTCAGCATATCTCTTATAGAACTGCACATAGGATTATATATGCCAAGATTAAAATGTCGCACAATCAATAGACTTATAAACGAAATGATTCAAAGTTGCCCTTATACTAAATTCAGCAAATTTGATTCGAAAATGTCCTTTTTAATTATGAAAAACAACTAAGTATTATGTTTAGAAGTTTTAATGGACATAAAATAGTTGAGTCATATATATTCCTTTGCAATTTTCACATCTAATTTTATTTAATAAGGTGTTAACACTACATATTCAAAAACTTAATAAAAAGATATTATTTCAACAACAAGTTGTTCAATTTTACTTGCAGCTTTTCAGAGCTGTAATTCTAATACATATTGGGATCTGAAACTATTATCAAATAGCAATAATAGAGATTACGTATTCTAAAAACCAGACAAATGAAGCAAGAATATATTGAGATGTAAATCAGGTAGTAGTTATTTGCTTTACAAAATGTTCTTAAATATACAGATTAATTATAACATATGCCCTTTAAATAGTAAAGCATTTAAAATAAATTTACCAAAAAATCAACTTACATAGTTTTTAAAGCCCCACCAATTGTATAAAGAGAGGCACTACTTTTATCCACAAAAAGCATCAAAATGTTTTAACATTTCAAAAATAGAAAGAGCCCAAAACAAGTGATTTCTCAGAAACAGTACAACTTAATAAGATGGCTATTCACAGTGCCCTTTAAGAAATTAATAATCTATTTTTTTAAAGTTATTTTTCAGCCCTGAATTGTAACACATTTTGACTTCCATTTCTGCTTTTCTTTGAATCAATCTGGACTGTAAGGAAGAGTGCCACAACACTGAGGCTATTGGAGATTTGAGTTAATGTCCTGAAAAAAAAAATGCTGTCTCTATACATAGAAAGTAACGAAGAAAAAAGGTAGTGCTGGAGTACAATGCATATCCCTTCAATGGTAAAACTCTACCAGTCCAACAAAAATCACCAAGATACAGATGTCAAAGTTAGAAAATGTAAACCAGCACAGAGTCAATATCATACACCTTATTCAAGTAAGTTTTACTTGTTGGATTGTTTGGCATTTGGGAAGCTAAATAAATTAATTTAGGAGGCTAGAAATCCCATCTCTACTCTTAACAAAGAGTTGCTTATTACTGAATTAAAGTTAATAGGGAAAATAGCATAGTGAAGACTCTTTTTTGTGCTTATTGATGAGGAAAAATTACCAAAACTTTCTTATGGAAAGAAAGAAATGGATTAATATTTTTTTGGAAAATAAAAAGTAAACTTAGAAATAAAGTTAAGGCACTTATTTCAATGGGTTTGCAATATCAAGGGCAAAGTATATTTTGTATTTCTTTGAGAAATTCCTTCTACCCAAAACCCATAAACTTTGCTCCTTTCATAGTAGATCTTTATTGTCACACCTAACTGTAAGTTACCCAAGTGGAAGTGCTTGCAGAATTCTTAATCATGTGTTACTCTACAAGTGAAGAAACAAATTAAATGCTTCCCACTCAGTTTTGTAGTACCACTGTTATAACCACAGTTAAAATAGGAGCAAATAAGCTTATCTCTCATATCCAATATTATAATTTCTATCATCAAACTTACTTTTCAACTAATGCTTAAATAAAGAATTCATTATTTAAAACTTTCAATTAAAAATTTCTCCAAGTCTGTTTTATTTAAGAAATAAGTTGACAGAGGCAAAAAGCAACTTACTAGTATGTCAAACAAAACAACCAAAACTAATTCAGCACATGTGATCTTAATATAAATCAACAAAAGTTTAAGGAAATATTTCACAATACATAAAACGTAGGGTGTTTTATTTCCCCTTCAAAATATGCAAGCTGCCTTTTAAATTACATTGTGTTACATGCTCTAATCACAAGTACTACCACATGACTGTTCGCTGTCTACTTAGGTAACTATGGTAATATCTTCATAAGGCTTGAAGCTTAATACCAGTGACTCACTACTAGATGAACAGAGTCAACCTGAGGTACGGTACCTGCAATTATCTTAATATAGTTAAAAAATTACATAAAAGAGTGAAATGAGAACCAATGAAACTAATGCCTCAGATATAAGACACCACCATCGAACAATTCTTAAGCTCCAAAAGAGCAAAGCATCCTACAGTTAGTCTCAGAATGCATGAATTTTTAAAATATATATATTACAGAAAATAAAGACAATGTAAAGACGCTCCCTTACTATAAATGTAGTAATTTATAGTACTGAAAATTCATTTTTGCAGCACTCTAACAAGTGAAAGTTTTGAAAACCTGCCCACTGAACAGGTATATAAAGTAAAACTAAACACGCATCCAACTTACTAAAATGATACATATATAGGCTACATCTATCCTGAATCTCTTTATAAGGCCAAATTATTTATTTTAGAATTTCTTTTAATAAATGATGAAAAATACAAGAAAACTTAAAGGAACATAGCATTTAGACTGTGAAATTGTGTTGTAAATTTTATTATAATTGTCATTTTGTTCTTAATATTGAAGACTGAATCACAGTTTCATAAATAACATCACACGTGTTTTATAATAAATATATCTGTATGCAGAGGTATCAGCATCTGCATATATCTCCAGACACTGTTGCTCATTTTAGTGTACATATTCTTATTCTGAGAAAGATTTAATTTTTTTACTTAATAATTCAGTAGAAAACATGTAAATAGACTGTATACTCCATATCCTTATTTTATTATGTCAGATCTGAACAACATTGTTTTAAATATCCATTTTAAAATATACATATAGGTAACAGTTATTGTTTTGTCATGATTAAATTAATGAGCGTAAGTGAAAAAAGCTAATCACTTAATAGACAGTCATAAAATAATAAAATGCAATATCATGCACTATGTATTACTAAAAAAGTGCTCACTTATATAAGCAGCAGATGATGAGAACAATATCATGGAAAATTATGGATATATCTTTATGTATATCCTTAAAAAATCACTTTTCTTTATATAATTTTTATTTTAATTTAAATGCCACATATTTTCAGCTAACATTTAAATTAGTTTTTTATTATAAAATTTCAGTTCTGTTATAAACCATTAAACACCTTCAAAAACTTGTTTGAAGGTAAGAATAATTCTTTCCTTCCATTATAAAACTATATCACATTAAGTATTATTAAATGTTATATTTGAGAAATATAGTCTGACCTTGAACATATTCAAATTCAAGATCAGTATTATGACAGAATGAAGATTTATGGGGGAAATGTTGCAATAGGTAAAACCTTTTAAAGACCATGTAATAGTAAGGAAGACACTTGTCTGAAATACTGAAGATGACAGATTTGACATTTTACCAAAAGACAGTAATGCTTGATCTTCTAATATTTCCCACAGAACTATGGATCCAGTTAACAGCAGGAGGGGAAAAGCAGCAGCAACATTTCAAACGTCCATATGCTGATCTATAAAAGACACCATGTAAGCAGAAGAAAATCGCATTTTACTTCAGGTAGTGTAAGTTTTTGAAATGAAGGCTTTGTTATTTTTCAAGACTGGAAGGATATCACAGTGTTGATTTTATATACAAAGTAGGATCTGTTCCAGTATACTCTAGTGAAATAATTCACATATGGAGAATAGTTAATTTTGACCTCATGACAAAATCGCCCATATTTTGAGTAGGTTAACTTGTCACCTTCTTCACAAACCACCTATTGAAAGATATGAAATATAATATTAAAAAGCTGGTTAAACTTATAGAAGAAATGTAATCAATGTACAAGTAATTATACTTTTATGAAAAAACATATTGCTAAATATAGACTATAAAATATCTCATATTTAGCAAATAAAAGCCTCTTAATAAGCGAGTCACTATGCCCACTAAACTCCTGAACTTCCCTTTGAGATCGAGAAGCCAGTATAAAGTGTTTCCAATTTTTAAAAGATTTCATCCCAAAATTTAGAAGGCAATGTTTTCATAATCATTGCTTTAAAGAACCTTATCATGAAGCCTACCAAGGATGAGAAACAGACATATTATATTCCTCGTGTATATTTAAACTCTTCTCTGTGTGTATAACTGACTTGCAACGATCTCGTAAGCGAGCAGGCTTTTGTGACTTGCCTGGTGCAAAACTTTATGTTCTCACCTAATGATATTCACTAAGATAGCTTAACTAGCCTGAAGGCATTTTTATAATAAAATACTAAGTATTATTTTAATGCCTATGAAAGATGTCAGAGAGCCAACTTTAAGAGGAAAAGGATGGGCCAGGCGTGGTGGCTCACGTCTGTAATCCTAGCACTCTGGGAGGCCGAGGCAGGCGGATCATTTGAGCTCAGGAGTTCGAGACCAGCCTGAACAAGAGCGAGACCCCGTCTCTACTAAAAACAGAAAGAAATTGGCTGGACAACTAAAAACATATAGAAAAAATTAGCTGGGCATGGTGGCACATGCCTGTAGTCCCAGCTACTCGGGAGGCTGAGGCAGGAGGATTGCTTGAGCCCAGGAGTCTGAGGTTGCTGTGAGCTAGGCTGATGCCAATGGCACTCTAGCCCAGGCAACAGAATGAGACTCTGCCTCAAAAAAAAAAAAAAAAAAAAAAGGTAAAAGTATGGATTAGCTTAAGTCCAGGCCTGGCATTACATGAAAAGGAGAAGTAATCTGATCTTCAGAATAGAGAAGAAAGGTGGGCAGCCAAGAGCAGAATAGAAAGGTTCTGGATAGCAGATAGCAATATATTATAGAAGTAATTACTGAATACTATATCCAATGTTTAATAAAATTCCATTGTGTCACCAATAAACCAAAGATCACAGCCTCAAGTGCCAAAAGAGAAAATTCAAAATACATGCAGCACAAAACAGAATAAGTTTATATTACAAAATTAAGGAGTGGCAGAAATCACAAAAACTAATTTCCCACCCCCAAACTGGTCTCAGATGATAAGACAAAGGTCTATGATTATTTAGGAAGGGGTAGAAAAAATCTTGGCTGCAACTTGAACAGAATGTGCACTACAACTTAAAATGACCTACTAAACTTTTCCTAAGATCCTCTCAGGAATCAAGGCATTCATTCCAGCCAATGCTAATTACCAGACACACAAACTTCCCTGTCAGTCTTCTTGGTTACCAGATATACAGTATGTCCACTGCATGGTAAAATAGCTTGGTAAAACAGGTTGGTAACAGCTGAAATCAATGTAGAAATTAAGATACAGCTAAATCCTAACAACTAAACTGGCTCTGAATATACTCGTTTTTGTGGATAATAGGGAATCAGTGGATAGGCACTGTGTTAATTTAGTAAGTAACTTTTCTGGATCTGAATCAAATTATAAGAAATTTCTCAATATAAGAATATAACAACCTACCCAGCTATTCTTTAGATTATTATTATAAGTTAAAATAATATCATCATTCAAATCAAATTATGC